TAAAACCTTGTTGATTTTGACATATAAGAATCAGAATGGTAAGATTAATTTTCCGATTCAGCATTTTTTTTTAAAAATGGAACAAATTGATCCTTATATATATATGAGCGGGTTCGGAAACCATTTCAGCACCGAGGCATTAACTGATGCCTTACCAAAAAGTATAATTATTAATTAATACAAGAAAACTTTATATAGATCTAAATTATAATGTATTTATGATTGATATGCAAACATGAAATAAAAAAATTTTTAAAATTAAAAACGTTCATAACTACATATATAATCCTATAATCGTTAATTTAAATTTAATCACAATGATAAACATATTCAAAAAAAAAAAAATAAACTAAACAGTAATAATTTATTCATGCTGATGGTGTGAAATGTACTTTAGTAGTGATGGCAAGTATAACCTATCCTATAATTATTCTTTTAGAAATCCAATTACCATTTTCATCAGTACAGCTGGCATTATGTGTGTTTTTTCCTTCTTCTATACCAAATACTCCGAAATCCAAGACCTCAAACCAAGTCACAGAATTCCTTTGCACAGCTGCAACACACCGCCGCTCGTCAAATCTCACTTGCCTATAATTAATTACTATTTTAGCTTAAGAAAAAAAAAATATATATATATAAAATAAATACATTACCATACACCACTCAGTCCTGTTAGAAGGTCTCGAATATGTTTTCCTGTTTTCACGTCCCACATACGCAAAGTTCCATCTGAACCGGATATAACTTTGTCTTCGTCATGCTGAAAGCATGTTATTGCTCCAGAATGAGTAGTTAATACATGCTTGCACGTGCCATCATCGGGATTCCATATACGAAGACTTGAATCTGCTGCTGCTGAAACAAGGTAATCGTGAGAAAGATCAAGTAGACCAACAAGCGATGAATGTCCTTCTAATGTCCAAATATTAGTGCCATCTTCAAGACTCCATACTTTAACGGTGCCGTCCATACTTCCACTCATACATTTTTTCCTTTTAGCATCTAACACAACAGAATAAACCTTTTGTGAATGTCCTTGTAGACGCCATACACATTCACCTGTCATGATATTCCAAACCCTGACAGTGCAATCATAGCTACCACTAACTAAAGTGTTTCCTACACCTGCTAAAGCACGAACAGAATGATTATGACCTTGAAGGGTGCGAATGAAAAATGGATTATCGCTAAATTGAGCATTGTCAGATGGCGATGAAGGTATAGTAGGATGATATGGTGAATCAGATTCATTAGGTAAACGCCATACTTTTAGCGTAGAGTCTCTTGAGCCTGTGACAATTAAAGGAATAGGTGGTTCGATAATAGGTGGCTCATTTGGGTTTGGATTAACATTTTGTGGTGTTATGATTTGAAGACACCTAACAGTGCTCGTGTGACCTGGAAATACATGAGTGCATATGCCTTTTGAAAGATCCCATATGCGAACCGTTCTGTCTGTTGAGCCAGAAACCAATGTTTTATCAACATATTGTAAAGCCCAAACACCACCATCATGACCTTCGAGTCTATTTATCATTCTACCAGTAGCTGTATCGTAAACATTTATACATTGATCGTCTGAGCCTGAAATAATTTTTTCAGAGTCGAATTGCAAACAGGTTACAACATTGTTACCATGACCTTGGAATGATATGTGCTTATGTCGACCATAAGACCAATTTTTTCGTGTAAGATAATGGCGGCGGTAGATCTCTTTATATGGATGATTGGTTGAAGGTGGAAGAGGTAATTTATCATCAGAGGTGTCAACATGATCACCACTTTCTTGAGACATTGCATCAACATCACTATCATCACCATCATATGGCTTATCATCGTCTTGATTTGGTTCGTCTTGATAAAGTTCTGTTGAATCCCATCCAACGTCTGCTCGACCTTTACCTTTATTTTGAATTGAAGAAATCTCCTTTGTATGTGAAGAATCATTATTGTCGTCATCCTTACTATGACTATCACTATTATCATTGTCGTTACCATTTGTATTATTAGATGATGATGGCTGGACCTCTGTACTACTAGGAGAGAGTGTATAAGAACCTTGCAAATTTACATCATCGCCACCGCCATCACCATTATCAATATCATCATCTTCAATAATTGAAGTATGAGAATTTTCTTGTTTTGGAGCTTCATCAGAATCAACTACCATATCGTTATCGTCATCATTATCATTATCATTGTTTTCATTGTTGTTAAGAATATGTCTTGAAGATTCAGAACCTTCAATTTTAATTCTAGTATTATTATTGATAACTCTCATAATCTCAGTATTGTCATCTTCATCAATTTCTACAATTGTCCTTTCTTCAGAAGATGAAATATCTACTTGCCTTGAACCACCGTCATCGTCATAATTATTTTTATTATTACTATCAATGTCCTCGTGATTATTTTTAATTGTTGTTGACGATTTTATTGAATTTGCAAAACCCCAATTTTCTGAAATAGCTCGTGCTTCTTCTGATTCCTCAAGATTGAAACCATCAGATAACAAGCGCTTTTTCCAAGTAAATCCATCACCATCCACAACATTCCTCCATCGTTGATTAACTTGAGCTGCTTTACACATACTCGATGCATCCAAGTATCTTACTATGTGTAGACTTAGTTCTAGCGGTAAAGTACCAAGAAAATCTTTTCTTAATGCAGGTAAAATTATACTACTAACATATTGGAGAGTATTAGTAGGACAACGCCTTAATAATTGAAAAAGCATATAAGATTTCATTGAAGGCGGTAGTGCGTCGAATGTTGCTAACATGGTATTTAAATCCCATAAACTAGGTAATTCGGAAGAAGTAGTTGTGGTGGTAATGGCTTTTCTTGTTTGTTGTTGACTTTGTTGTTGCTGTAGGCTCCAATTACTATCATCAATAATTGTTGTTAAATTATCATCATCATTCATATTGGTGTTAGAAGAATGGTTAGCAAAGAAAGTTTCAAATTGATTTGTATTATTGTTTGGTGAAAGAGATGGAGAAGGAAGTGCAGAAGATTGGGTACTTCTTGCAGTAGAAGGAGTATCCATACCAAGATTAGATGTTGACATGGCATTATAATGTCTTGAATTTGAAGAAGTGGAGGGGGTAATGGATTGGCGTGAGTCAACTTGAAGATTATTATTATTATTTATAAGTGAATTTATTTTAATCCCGGTAATATTATCATCGTCACCATCCTCATCGTCACCATTCTCATCCTCATCATTGTTATTTGAAAATTCCATCCATTGTCTTTGTGAAATTGGATCATTCTCTTGTTTTGAAGGACTTGTTACCATGGATGAGGATGATTTGGCACAAACTTTCTTATGTGGCGGGGATAAAGATCTATAAGCCCGCGTGGTTTTGCTTAAATGATTACTAAGCTCATTGCTATCAATACTATTATTATTGGAAGATTGTTTAGGAGGTTCTAATGTTAATTCTAAGGGAGATGCAGGTCTTTTACGGGCACCGCTTTCTGAAGGTTTAGCTCCACTAAAATTATCATTAAAAGAATGATAAGTAGCAGTCTTTACAGTTTTTGATGTAGAGGATGTAGGACCAGATGCTCGCATATTATATAAAGCCTCTTGAAGCTATAAATAAGTATATATGTATATTTTATTATTTTAGATTTGATATTTAATTTATATATATGTGTATGTATTGTATTACAAACCTTCAACAATTGTTCTTCAGTGTCCTCATGCTCACGAATGTAAGCAGGTTGGCCATTTAAATCAAAACAAAACCTTTTTAAAACTGGAGGTGTTGGAGTGTCAGCTAAAGGATATTCTTTTGGATCAAGGTGTTTTGGTAAAGGTGGAGGATTTAATAGTAAAGGGGGAAAAGAAGTTGTAGTGGTAGTAGTTGTAGTGACCACAGTTGTGGTAGTTGTTGGAGCTAAAGATATTGTAGCCACTGTTGGTTGTCTACCTTGTGAGAAAGGAATAGAGGCGGTAGTGGATGAGGTGGATGAGGTGGATGAGGAAGATGAGGCGGAATTCGAGGTTTTAGATGGTTTATTTGATTTTTTAAGGGGTATTGAAGCAGATACAGGAGTTGAAGGTGAAGAACGAAAAACTTCTGAAGGAATATTATTAGTATCAAGTTTAAAGTTTGGTAAAGTATTGTTCATATTATTTTTCATAATCCTTAGAATATTATTATTATTGGTTTCTAGATAATAAAATTTTTTTTGTATATATGTAATAATAATAAACCTAAAAATTATTTCGATTAATTATAAATAATTTTAAATTAAAAAATAAATTATGGGGCCATATTGTTAAACAAGTTATATATACTTTCAGGGGACCAAAATATGCACATTTTGATTTTAGGTAATTATGGTTTTTTGTCACGAGGGCTCCACGCATTTATTATTATTATTATTATTATTGTTATTGTTATTATTATTTTAATGTTGAACATTAGCTTATAACATGCCCATTTAAATGTTGAATTCCATTCATTTTAAAGCTCTTATTGTTTTAGACTAAAAATTAACATATACAACCCCTCTCTTCAATTCATATATATATATATAAATGGAAGATTTTCATCACACTTTATCTATATATAATATTACACTATACATAAAAATAATGTAACACTAAATACATACATACACACGCATACACATATAAACATGGTGCAACACGTCTAAAAGACTGATTATGAATTACAAGAGTGGTCAAACCCCGTGATTTTTGTTCTTGGACATCAACTTGCCAAATTTTCATTTTTTGGTCGTCATATTTTTGTTCTGTCATTATTATCGTTATCATCATCATCATCATTATTGTTTAATTTAGAATTTTTTTTCATTTTTTTCATTTTTTGAATTTTAATGGCCTCTTCCATTAATTCAAAAACACTCTTTTCATAATTTTGAAAATCTTGAATTATCTTTTCCTAAAAAAAGAGGTACAAGAACATATAAATCAATAACTAATGAATTAAAATATATAGGTATATATAGATATATATACACACACACCTTATTTTCAATTGTTTGTTTTTTAATATTGATATTTGAAGAAGAAGATGATAAATTATTTGGAATTTTAATATTGGTTGATGACAAATCGTCATCCCTTTTTTTACTTAATCGATCTTCTTTTTCCCAAAATCTTTTCATTCTTTCTTCTTGTTCTTTTTTTATATCAAGTTTTTGTTGTTTAGCTGACTTTTCCGCCTCTTCCAATTCTATTGTATTAATTTGTTATTAATATAATGAACACATACAAATTCTCTCACATATATATATCTAAATGCTTATTATTTACCTTCTCTCATTGCTTTTCTTTTACCATCTAATGATTCAAATCTTTTCTTTGTAGCAATCCTGGCTTTAAATTTAAGATCATATTCTAATTTCTGTTTTGGATCTGTTAATATATTGTAAGCTTTTGTGATTGTGTGAAAAGTCTTTGTTGCTATTAAACAAAAAGAATGGTGATATAATAAATAAATTTTTTTTTCAAAGATAAAACAACTAATCTCTAGACATTTTTAATGTATTTACCAGTTTCAACATTATTTAAATTTTTATCAGGATGATAAGTAATTGCTTTTTTACGATAAGCTTTATTAATCTCTATTTCCGTACTATTATAATTCACGCCAAGTATTTCATAGTAATCAATAAATTCTCCTGAACTCATTTTTTATTTTCTTGACAATAGTTTATTGACAAATAATGGTACAAAAAAGAAAATCGTAATTTTTTAAAAATGATATTTACTGTGTAACAATTTTGGGATAAGAACATTTTCTCGTTTTTTTTTTGAAAATGGTAATTAATCACATCATTTAAAGAAGCAACAATAATAATTTTATATTAAATTAATTGATCTTTGCTTTTTCAGTCTAATACATTGCGTCCATATTTAAAAGCAGTTAAATCAACCTTAACGGCTGCATTATGTTTAGAAAATTTTCCATCTCAAGTGGTTGAAAGACACAACAAGCCTGAAGTAGAGGCTAGGTTTATTATTATTATTATTATTGTCATTATTATCATGGTTATTATTAAGGATAAGAATAAGAATAATAATATTTAATCTTTGATTTTATAGATCTTCGCCTGAAGTTGTAATGAATCCATTGATAATTAGCCGAAATGAACAAGAAGGAGTATTGATAGAGCCATCAATTAATTCATTGCGCATGAGCATAAAGATCAAACAAGCTGATGAAATGGAAAGAATTTTATGTCACAAATTCACTAGATTTATGATGTTAAGAGCCGATAATTTTATTATATTAAGAAGAAAACCAATAAAAGTAAATAGAATCAAAATTATATAATATTAACATGTATATATATTATATAATATTGAAATTATTGATTTATATATATATTATAGGGTTATGATATTAGTTTTTTAATTACAAATTTTCACACGGAACAAATGTTGAAGGACAAATTGGTAGATTTTATTATTAACTTTATGGAAGAAGTTGATAAAGAAATTAGTGAGATGAAATTAAGTTTCAATAAAAGAGCAAGAGCCATCGCAGGATCTTATCTTTTACAGGTAATAATGATGTTTTATCATATTCATTATTATGAAATTTATTTATCTATTTAATTATAAATTCTAATTTATTTTTAGTTTACTTGAAATGTTCATTATTTAATTTATGAATAAAAAAAAAAATTTCTAATTAAATGTTTATTGTTCGTTTGTTTGTTTGTTATATATATATATATATAATAATTATTATAATTATCTAATTGCTCTATTATGAAAAATGTTTATAATTTTATCATTCATTCTTTTTGCCATCCAAAATATTGGTAGTTTATAAGGAACCAGTGGAGAGAATTCCAACTTTTTGTTATTTCTTGGCATTGGTAAAGCATTATTGGCCATTATTATGTACTAAATATAATGTAATGTGGTATATATATATATATATTTGTTAATCTATCAACATTTATAATATTTATAATATTACTATTATGAATTAATTCACTTACAATTGGAAAGAATAAAGCAAATATTCCAGCACTAAAAAATACATCTACAAAAAATGTAACAGAAGTAAAAATAAAACCTAATAATAAAAATAAATAAATTACATTTAATAATATATCAATCAAGTGAAATTTTTAAAGGAGTGAGATTTTGATTAAATACCAAATCCTGCAAAATAAGCCCATCTTTCTTCAAAATAATCAATCCTTTGTTCTAATGACCAGCCTTTATTTATCCATTTATATCTATTTGGATTTTTTTATTAATTTTTTAATTTAGCGATTTTCTCTCCCCCAAGGAAAACAAAAAGCGTAAAATAGAAAATTGCTTACTCAAAACTATAAAATGAATAAATCCAACAAAAGTATATAAATGAACAAAATGGCCCAATCTTGGGTATAATGTAAATTATTGTTGAAAATATTAAATAATTCATAAATAATATGGTCCTATATATTTCATCTGCCATTGCTTTCAACAATTTATCATAATTAAATTTGGAATTAATTGTTTCTCCATATTGTAATTTATAAATACGATTTGCAATATCTTGGTACCACATTGAATTTAATATAAAGCTTAATAAAAATATTGGGTAAACCCAAAATAACTATTAAATAAAAATAAGTAAAAGACAAATTAATTATAATAAAGTGAAAGAATATGTATGTGTCTATTTATTAAATACCTGATAAATCAAATTCACAATTGAATCTAAAAAACTTGAAATAAACAGCGAATGATTTTCTCCTCCTTTACTATTTAACACTGGATCTCCTAAGAAAAAATGGATTATTGGCAGTGTAAAATTCTTGAAAAAAAATATACTTCCTAGAAAAATTACTCCATTCAAAGTAAAACATTTTAACGTTCGATTTCTAAGTGTATTAGATCTAAAGAAATGATGGATGGATATGATTATATTGATGACGATGATGATGATGACGATGATGATGACGATGATGACGACGATGATGATTATAATAATCAATTTACCCGTAAATTATGAACAAACTTGAGGGCCAAGCAAATGCATCACAGAAGCCTCTCCAAAAATATTCTATGCACAGTTTAACATTCTCTTGAAATCCAAGTTGTCTATATTGCCTTTTCTTCTTTTTTGTATCAATATTTTCCATGATATTTATATCGCCACTACCACTATCATCGATACTAACATTACTAGCATTACTACTACCACTCCTATAGCTTATATGGCTTGCATCATAATCGCTATCATAATCACTACCATTACCATCATTATTAATATATTTTATGCCATTAATATCGTAATTACTGAAATTGCTGCTACTATTGCTGCTTTTGATACTATCAACACTTGTATTACTAGAAGTAGAATTTATCCTTCTTCTTCTCGTGACGTTTAACATTGTTGTTATTTATCGAAACATCCAATTTGAAATTAAATATTTTGATTAATTCACATTGTGCTACCTAAATAGCAAGCAATTAAAAAACTAGTTAATTTATAGAGCTTGTATAAACACCTTGGATTTCAAACGATCTTATAGATTAGTTTAAGATCGTTACTCAATAGAGTCTTAAAAAGCTTGCGTTTCAAAATCACCCAAAACATTTAATTGTTCAGCAGATTTTCATACATTCACACCTATTGTTATTTTTTATTTGGAAAAAAGTATTATATAAATAAATACGATTTCAAAAGACAACTTTCTATATGACCTCAAATATGATCGAACAGGGTCCTGGGTAAGCAAGTTACTTCCCAACTACATTGTAAATGGTCAGCAAAATATATATATATATATAGTAGCCATAAAAATTTTTAAACAGGATGTCATTGTTCAAAAAAATTGGCAAGATAGCAAAAAAGACCTAAACAACAAAAAAAATTTAAAATTAAAAGTTTCAATTCTTTTACTTTCATTTTCTAGTAATTTCCACTTGTCCATTGACGAGTCTGTATTTTCGGCTCTTTTGGAATGTGCTTATTCTGACCCAAAGCATCAGGTTATTGGTTATCTTGGAGGAAAATGTAGCATTGGCAAATCTGATATGATCATATGTCATGTTAGTCAATTTGTAGCTTTGGAAAGGTTAGTTTTCATATTATCTATACACGCGTGAATTTATATCTAAATACTTGTGATTAATTAATTAATTATAAATTCCTTTATAGGTGTATTCCTTCTCTACTGACTGACACAGTGAAAGAGATTAATCTGGCTTATGAAGAAACAATCAAAAAATTTAAGGATATGGGACTAATATTAGTAGGCTGGTATCGAAGGTATGGTGTTTTCAAAATTCCATCGATACCATTACTGTCATTTCATTTTATTAATATTGTTGGTGACTGTATTAATCAAATCCACCAAAACTCTTATTAAATGTGTGTTTTTATTTATATTGTAAATAAAAGTAACATCTCATCTAATTCTAATTCGATTATTACACAAGCTGATATTATAAAACAACAAAAATTACAAACACAAGTAAATGTCTTATTAATTTTAGTTTTATTCCTTTTATTAATACATCTAAGATACTGTGTAAATATACGTTTACATTTACATCTGATATACACATATTATTTATATAGCATCCAAATAGTGCTGGTATTATCATTTCAATATCTACAACAGGATTTCCCTCACTAGGTCCAAAAGGACAAATATCAGATGGAATAACTAACACATTTTGTATTTTTAGAACATCTGAAAATACCATTCTAAATGACTTTGATGCTATTAACACACCATCACAAGGTACCAAATCTAAAAATGGTAAAATATCGAAAGGAAAAGGCAAGGAGTTGCCTAAGGTCAACAGGGTAACATTTAGTGTAAATAAACAATTATATACTTGTCCAAGTGTTATGCAACAACTTTGTTGCGCATTGATGGTATGGTAACGTCATCTTTTTTGACAAATATTATACAAATACGTACATATATATTATATATGTGAAACACTCGAGACATTATATATGTGTAATATGTGTATATATCTATAATATTTGTAAACCAACATAATTACCTATATGTAAAATTCTTTATTTTGGAATGCAGACAATTCTTCATGAATCAAAACAGGTATATAATGAACAAATATTGGATTGCGAGAATAGAATTGGTCAAAAGGTATTCGTTGACTCACAATATGAATCGTTTCTTTTGAATTTTTTGAGAAAATCAGTAGTTCAGGTAATTTTGATTTATATATATTATTATCAATTTTTTAAAAAAGCAAGGTTTACTTACACACCATACACGCATATATTAGTTTGATAGGTCAGTGGATCAAGATTTTAGATCATTATCAATTGCAAAGCATCATGCTAAGATGTTAATAAGTAAACATTTGAATGAAACATTGGGAATATTACAACAAAATAAGATTAAAGATGAAAATCAATTAAATTTATGGCGAAGGAAGCTTGAAAAATTGATAGAAAATGTAAATATATATAAAACGCAAAGCATTGATTTGTTTTTTTTTTACATTACTTTCTTAATTTCTTTTTTTCTCTTTTTTTTGTTAATATAATAATTAGATGGCAATGCAAAGATTATCTAAAAAAGAAAAGGAAATGAAAAAAAATAATCCATCAGAGTTTGATTTAAATAAATGGCCTAACTTGACATCGTCACTAGAGAGTCAAGTTATAATAAATCAGGACAACACAATAAATTGTTCTAATACATTAATTGATAATAATGATAATAATAATGGCAATAATAATGATGATGATGATGATAACAATTTAATGTCTATAGATGCAAATGGTTCTGATACACTGTTAGGATATAAATTATCAGAAAATTTTAAAGAATTTACTATAAAAAAAAATGAACTTGATTTAATGAATGAAAAATCTGGTGTATCACAATCACATAATATAATTCTTTTGGATGATATACCCGAGGAGGAGGCTACTGCTGCCGCTGCTACTACTACTACTACAGACATTTCTTCTACAAATAACAAGTCTAGCACATTGGGTTTTAATTTAGAAACCAAAAATTCCTCTACAAATAATTTAACATCTACTACTACACCTATTGTTAATGAATTATCATCTTCATCTTCATCATCTTCAACTGCAGCTACCATAGAAAATCGTGTTATAAGGAAAACCAGTATTGAGTATATAATGTAAAGGATCTTTTATAAATAATAATAATAATAATAAGTAATAATAATAACAATAATAAATCTTTTTTAAACCAATCATAAATAAAACATTCGCATAAATTTAAAATATTTTATTTAATTGACCGTCACCGGATGATTAAAAAAGAGTGGTGTTAAATTCCTATATTGATCCATTTCTGAATTGGGTCCGGAACCTATTTAACGGATAAATTTTCAAAAACCAAACTTTTCTATAATTATTTTATCTCGCTTTAACGATTTAACGGATTTTCATCCTTGCCTTTTTTATTTTTGGATAATCTAATTTTATAAAGCGTAATGGACGTAATGTATTATAATAATAAATGCTGACGAATTTATCACGATTGATCAAATCTTGAATTCGAAGAATGATGGAACAAGAAATTGTAAACATTGTCTGGGACAACCTGAAGTTGAAGATAATGAGGGTGTCGATAAGATAAGTGAACCGATTGTAACAAGTACAGAAGCTATAAATAGTTTAGGAAATGCACTTAAATATACACAACAAAAAGATTTAGAAGTTGATTCTCAGATGTATTGAAGTTAAAAAGAGAAATTTCTTATAGAAGTACCCAAGAAGCAAACAATGTCGAATTGACGAATTTATGAGTCAACAATTACCGTTATTTATTTTTTTTTGTTTTTTTTACGTATATATTTAATTTATAGCACGTGATTTGATCATAAGCTTCGCTTTTGCGGATCTCTCGGTTTAGCGGATAAATTTTCCTGGGAACAAACATGTCCGTTAAACCGAGACCACTCACTGTGTATTAGTATAATAATAATAATAAAGTAATCGTACTGCGCCATTTTAAGTTACGTCATGAAAGTGATTTTCAATGAATTTACGTTACACGATATGTGCATAATCATTCAAAAATTTTATTGTCACTATATTTGTAAGCGGAAATATTCTAGTTCAATCTAGCTTAAATTAATAATGCCACGTAAGTACACGCGTAATTTTATATTATAATAATAATAATATTATTATTACGAATCTAATAATAATCGATTACGAATCTAATTACAAATCTAATAATAATCAATTACGAATCTAATAAAATAATTCTATAAATACGACCTCAGAAACTTCATCCTGTAAATATTCAATATTCAAACTTCAAATTATTTTAATAAAAAATAAAAATGTCTACAACAACATCCATAAAAGTTACCTATGATTCCATCTCTAGACGTTTCTCAATTCCAACCGATTCACCGAACTGGTTGGATTTAGAACGACAAATTCGTACTCTTTTTCAAATCCCTGCCTTAAAAATCAACGTATTTTATATTGATGAGGATGGTGATGAAATTACCGTTTCAAGCGATTTAGAACTTGAAGAAATCCTAAAACAATTTACTTATAATAATAAAAACAAACCTATAAAACTTGTTGTAACTACAATCGAAACATCTGATACATCTACCATTTCTACAACCAATGTTGTCACTACGGCTATTGATGCATTTCCAAATAAAATTGAAGATGAATCTTGGGTTATCGAAGGTGGTGTCAACAACAGCAGCAGCAGCGATAGCAACAATAATAGTTCTAAAGAAAAACAAAAAAGTATAGTCACTCCCTATAAAATGGCAGATAGCGGGGGCGACAGTAATACTGCTGCATCTACCGTAAATTATCAACATGTATCATTTGTTGATGAATCAGAAGAGGAGGAGGAAGAAAAAAGCCCATTATTTGTTCATGATAGAGAAAATTCTGAAAAGATCGATAATAAAAACAAGAACGCTGACATTGAAAATAATAATAAGGATGATAGTAATAATAAAAACCATGAAGCAGAAAATGATGAAGACAATGAATTTATTATTTATATTACTTCTGATCATCCTTGGCATAATTCATTTTTAGGATTAAATCGTGGTGGTTATAACAGATGTAATGGTAGATCTAATTTTTATGGACCACCATCACAATTCTGTAGACAACGATTCAATGAAAATGGAGCCCATAACAACAACAACTACAACTACAATAATTGTGGAGGTTTTTATAGACAACCTAAGTCATGTTACAATAGAACAGCAGAAGAAAATACTGATTTGTCTGACAAGGTCAAAATTTTAAATGAAATGGGATTTCCTGAAGCTAAAAATGCGAAACATGAAATTTTATTAAGAAAATTTAATGGTAACATTGAGCGTGTTGTCGAGGTTTTATTATACTGGCAACAAAATAATCATTATGATGCGAATAAACACGATAATCACAAAGAAAATAATGGTGGCAGTAGCACTAGCAGTAGTAAAGAAGTCGATGAAGTTTATTAATTGGTGTTTATTTAGATTTTATTTTTATAATTTTACTTATTTTATAATTTTATTTATTTATTATTATATTTTTCGAATTTTTGTTATTAAAAGTTTTTAAATAAAGATATTTTTTAAAAAAAAGAAAATTATTATTATTGCCAAAACTGAATTAAACCAATAAATTATCTAACCATGATCTGTGCAGGACGGTCAATGATTATCACATGACTTTGATGCTTATTTAAAAAGAAAAAGGAAAAAGATATAAACCAATAGAATTAAAGTTAAAGATCTAAATTTCATTTCCATCGATTTACTTTTTAGAAAAGTTTTGGGTTATAAGGCTTCAAAGTTAAACCATATTATGTCTATGTAAAACTGTAGAATGATCTTGTGATTTCCTAAAAAGGCTGATGATCGGGTTAAAACTTTTTTTTCGTATATTAATATAATAATAATACAGGAAATCTTTCCAGTAAAAGAAATTATTACTTGATTTAGGGAAATCTTCTAAAATTTTAAATTTCGGGCTATGACATTTATAGATGACACATACAAGATACGTTACACAGTTATCCTAACTATGCAAAGACGCGTAGTGGTGAATTCATCATATTGCTGTATTTATTAAAAAAAATCAACACAAAATTATTAATCAATTGATAACTTTAAAATGCCTCATAAAAAGCTTTACGGACCTTGCAGCGTTTTAAATTGTGAAAATAACAGCCCAAAATTTCGTACTTTCACCAAAGTGGCGTATAGAAAAGCAGTAGAGAAAGGCACATATCCTAAATGTAATTACTTGAAAATCGGTCAAGAGATCTGTTTCTCTCACTATTTATCAATTGTAGAACCAGATAGATCTATTAAATATAGAAAAAATAAACTTCCGAAAAAAAATCTTCCACGAGAAGCAATTCATTTATTAGGCAGTACGAGAAATGAAGAAAGTATTGTTGATTCTGGTAAGTTTCTAAAAAATTTCTAAAAAAAAGATAAAAGATAATTCTTATCTAAGAAAATGCATTATTATTATTATTGTTATTATTATTATTATTATATAATTTATAGAAAAAGTTGATGATGATATTGCTGTAAAAAATGAAAATTTGATCATGAACGAATTATTCCCTGGAAACTTTTAGATTTAAATAGATTATGATTAAATAATTTTTGTTATCTGAAATGCTATCATTTTCTTTGATATGTATGAATATATATATATTCAATTAAATGAATATTTTTCATAGTAATAATTTCAAGAAAATAAATATTATAAATATCAAAAAAGTATTACAACTATCAAATTAGGTGTAAATCAAGAAATTTACTAATGAGGTAATTTTTTCTTTTTTTATTTATTTTTAGCATTTGTATGTCTATAATTTCTTGTGTTAAATCTTCAATGCATTCTTAATATCATCATCAAATTATCAAATTCACACCACCATCTTTTGACTAATCTAAGGTTTGGTATATTGAAGAATCATCAAATGAACTTTTTACAAAATGACTAAAATTTTTCCTAATGTTTCTAAGCCCTTATATATAGGTAGGTAACTATGAATGACCACCAACTAGTAATATTAATAAGTGGAATTGACTATTTTTCATCACTATTTTGTGTTATCCCTAATGGAAATGAGAGTAAAAAAATATATTTATAATATTTATGATAACATTAATATAATTATTGTGAAGATATCGTTACCTATTAATATTAATCAAGATAGATTAGAACATTTTTTGATTTCACTTTGCAAGTAAAATTCAGAGATATTTTCTTCAATCAGTATGAAATGCAGATCTTATTAACATTTATTATGGAGATTCAAAGACTCAATTGGGTAAATATATTATGTACATATGTATGTATACATAGTATATATTACTTTATTTATGAAGTATTAAAAAGTAACACGCGCATATTATTATAGCTTTCGTCTCTACAAATCCAATTGTATTATATATATATATATTTTTTTTTTTTGGAAAAAGGGGATCATGAGAAAGGATTCAAAGTTTTCATAATGAATTAAAATCAATGAGATTGATGAGAGTTCCACTATACAAACAATCAATAATTTTAAATAGGAATCATATCAAATTGTATCATTCTAAGAAATAAAGTCATTTATCATACTAATGTTACTTTTAACGTAATCAATCACTTATCACACAAAACTTTTATGCAAAATTTAAAATAATGACATTTGGCAGAATATCATCATTTAACAAAATATCCATGAATTAGAATGGGTTGGACCACAATTACTATTCAGACACAATATTTCAACAAAATGTTTGAATAAAAAAAAAATACGAATTAAAATGCATGTTTATGATTTGTCTTGATGAAATAATTCTTAGAAAGAAAGATTTAACGATGTTTCAACAACTTAAACATTTTACAATAAAATGTTTAATAGCAAAATTAACAAATTGATTAAGCAAGAAACTTAAAAAGAAGAGGGAAATTCTGAAAATGAACAAAGTGAAAAAACTGTTTTGGAAATGCATGAAAGTGACCTTCAAGAAATCATTCAAAATGTATTGTATTATTTGATAAATTTATCGCTTATTAATCGATCTAAAAATTCAATAATTTCTACTAGAATCAAAATTTCAATTAGATGGTTATTATAAAGCCCAATTGTTTCGTGGAGTTTAATTAATTACAAAATTATCTATCACACACGCGCACTCGTATGTATGTTGTTAGATTTTCCATCAGAAAACGTATTTGAAGAACAGGTTTTTACATTATATGGTCAATTTAACCGGGTAAAAAAATGAAAGATGGTTAATATCAACTCACATTATTTACTATCTATTTATAAGTTTTTATTTTTATTATTGTTTGTTTTTAGGTGTCATATGATTTAAGAATGATTTAAAACATATTGAATATGCACAACAAGCTCTTAATGGTGCAACCAAATCACTTCGTAGAGCTCTTTCATGTTCGATATGGATGCTTTTAGTGGTAATTCTGTTTTCTTTGAATATAGTGTGCCTTTTTGAATGATAAGCTATGGTCCATTTGAAAAGAATGCTGATGTGAAGATTATGTAAATTCGCTAAAGATTTCTTTGAATAATTTAATAAGATATTTTTCATCCAAATCATCATTTGATACGAAGGATATCTTAAAATTTCAAACAATTCTTTTACACTTTGACAGGTAAATCATTTCATATTAATTCCTTCGTATCAATTTTTTTGATAAATTATTTATTTTATATTAGGGTTAAAAACATTCAATTCAAACTAAATTCAAACATTTATAGATAGGAAAGAAAAATACCAACACAAGGAAGCTTTTGTTCTGGATGTTTTGTTTGATAATGTCTTTGTGGGTATTTATATAAGATGTAAATATATTTATATATAATTTATTTATCAATCTGATTATTATTATTGAATAGCCAAAATTCAAGAATCATTGAATAAAAATAATTAATTCGTCACAAATAGCAGATTCATATAATTTAAAAAGAGAAGAATCAGAATCTTTGAAATGGAAGGAATGTTGAAAATGACGACATTATCGGTGGTGGTGAGAACAATGACTATAACGGTGATAGGTGTACGTAAACAAATAATATTTCTATATTGCATAAATTCATTCATTCGTTCATTCACTAATCAACTATTTAATAGATATTTATTGTATCTAATATATTTATTAATATTATTTACTATACATTTTCAGCACCTATTGAAATATAAATCCCTAAAAAAAAAAAAATAATAAATAAATATATTCTATAAATCTAGATTAATTTAGTATATATACTATTTATACATAATCTTCAATTGGAGGGCAAGAGCATATTAAATTTCTATCGCCATAAGCATCATCTATATAATAATAATAAATTTTAGTAAAGAATGATAATAATTATTAACTATTATTAGCAAAAATTAAATATACCAAGTCTTCCTACAGTTGGCCAAAATTTCTTTTGTTTTAAATATTTAATTGGATATACAGCTTGTTCTCTTGAATAAGCCTTATCCCATGTTGATTTAACTAAAGTTTCAATGGTATGTGGTGAGTTGGTCAAGGTATTATCTCCTTTTGGTTGTTTCCCTTTCTCAATTTCATTTATCTCTTCTCTTATTGCAATCATTGCATCACAAAACCGATCTAATTCTGCTTTTGATTCAGATTCCGTTGGTTCGATCATGAGGGTATTTGGTACTGGCCATGACATTGTTGGAGAATGAAAGCCATAATCCTAAATAAATAAAATGAGATGAAATAAACATGAAATAATCTTTTAAAAATATTTATTTATTTATTTATTTATTACCTGAAGACGCTTTGCAATATCGATAGCTTGAATACCAGCAGTTTTTTCAAAAGGTCTAATATCAATTATAAATTCATGCGCACACATTCCATTCTTATTGGTGAACAATATTTTATAATGGTTTGATAATCTACGTGCCATATAATTTGCATTTAAAAGAGCAAGTTCGGTTGCCAATTTTAATCCTTCTCCGCCTAATAATACCATTATCAACCATTAACTTATTAATTAATATAAATAATATGGTTATAAAGAATGAATTATATTACCCATCATTTTAATATATGCCCAAGATATAGGGAGAATATCAGCTGATCCAAAAGGAGCTGCTGATACTGGCCCAATACACTTCTCACCGCCAGTTTTTATTATAGGATGCCCAGGTAAGAAAGGGACCAAATGTGATTTTCTAAATAATATTAATTTATAATTTATATGTTATTAAATTATAGAACAAACTCAATTTATCTATAACTTTACTTACACTCCAATAGGACCAACACCAGGACCACCTCCTCCGTGTGGTATACAAAATCTATATATATATATATATATATTAGATGATGACAATAATAATAACAATAAACATAACAAGTTTATACTAACGTTTTATGTAAATTCAAATGACAAACATCAGCACCTATATCAGCTGGTTTGCATAATCCAATTTGTGCATTTAAATTAGCACCATCCATA